AGTCACTTCGCTGTCATAACACGTTGTAATTTGTGTATAGGCATCGGAGGTGTGCTTCGGCAGCGTTAACAGCAAGATTTTTCATTTCACAGCGATAGTTGCTCGAAACTCTAGTTAGGAGATTGTCGTGGTTTAACCCCAGCTAGCAGCCGCGCACCACCAGCCGCCCTCGCTCTCCGGATGGGAGAGAGAATCAGAAGAGTGAAAGTAAGAAAACTCGTGGGTTGAGATGAAGACAGTTTAGTAAGTAAAGCAAAAGCTGTGTGTGCAACCAAAGCAAAACAAGAAATTCATTCACTTCTTCCCATTGGCAGGCAGGTGTTCAGCCATCTTCAGGAAAGCAGGGCTCCATCACGTGTAACCGTTACTTGGGAAGACAAACACTATCACTCCAAATGTCTTCCTCCAGCTTCATGTGGTATTATGGAACATCCCTTTGGTCAGCTGGGGTCAGCTGTCCCAGCTGTGTCCCCTCCCAACGTTTTGTGCACCTCCAGCCTGCTCACTGGTGGGGTGGGGTGAGGAGCAGAAGAGACCTTGACTCTGTGTAAGTGCTGCTCAGCAATGACTAAGGCATCAACACTCTTTTCAGCACAAATCCAAAACACAGTCCTATTGTAGCTACTGTGAAGAAAATTAACTCTCTCCCAGCCAAAGCCAGCACAGAGATGAAGCTAAAGTCACTGTAAAAAGAAAGGTAGTGGTTTTGAAACAAAAATAACTGTAGAAGTGCATAATGTAATCATGGTAAGTTTTTTTTTGAAGGGTGACTGAATTCTGTTGATGACTTCTGTTAAATGAGGTAAATGATTTTTATTAAGTGATTTTAAATGATGTCACTTTAATGCTGGTCCTTAGTGGAGGAGAATGACTGCATGCAGATTAGAGGTATAAGCTGTTTTTCTCCATGGGGAAGGGCTTTCATGAAGTTATCTCTTAGAGGTCCGTTCTGCAAACCTTCCTGTGCAGATACAAGGCCTAGGTCACACTTTTTATATCTGGAGTGGACAGAGCTCATGTAACTTGTATGTTAATCCCAGAGCAGCAGCCAAGGAACAGGCCTGAGTTTCCAGTCTCCCCTCATGCTCCACCAGCAGCCTGTGTCTCACTTCAGTACTTCACTCGGTTCCTTATGTTCCTTGGTGTCTCATCGAGCTGGAAACCTCCTCTGGAGGATAAACCAGTGGCCTATGACTTTAGAAGCATGTGAAACCCAGTTTATGGGCCTGTTGGTTGGTCTGCATGCCCTTGCAGGAGGAAGAGTTACAGACAGGACTGTAATTTGCTGTGCTTTATGTAAGATTATAGTCAGCTTGGAGACCTGTGACTATAACATAAGATCGTTATGTTTCATTTCAGTAGTTTAGAAAGTATACTTAAGTGAGAAATATGTCTCAACGTTTCTATGTATTCCTCTCTTTGTTCTGAGCATTAGGGGAAGGCAGAGAAGAACTGACAACTGTTTATAAGAAACAAACTTCAGAAAGAGCGTCTTCCATCCCTGTATGCTTTTTCTCTGCTTTTCATTCATGCTTGCTATAAAACTCAGTTTGTTGCAGGTTCAGAGCAGGTGTGTTGTTTTGGCTTGGTGTATTGTCCAGCTTTCTTCTGTAGCTAAAAGAAGCACTCCGATCTAAGAAACCATCTTGTTACTTTCCCTTATGTCTTGCACTTCTTGGTTGTAAAGATTCCCAGGTTTTCTTACAGTACCGTGCTTGATAACTATTTCTTCTTGTTTTCCCCAGAATTAAAAGGAATATCATTCTGTTTCCCCCCTGTCCAACATCTGAAGGGGGTTTAGTTCTCAGAAGGCACAGAGCTCTAAGTTCACCTCTTCACTCATTTAAGTAGTTTTTAAAATTTTTATAGCTCCTGGACTGGAGGGTGTTCCCTACAGTAAATATACTGGTCTTGGATCAAGAGGCTGCAAGCTTTCTGTGGCAAGGAGTGCTTACAGGCCAAGTGTACAGTCAAGGATGATGTGAGATCAGTTTGTGGTCACTGGATCCAGCATAATGTCAGCAATGGGACTGAAAGTCAGTAGAGGCATTGAAAAACCTTGTGTGCTGCCATGAAGTTAGCATATGTAGCTCACTGCCTATCAACAGGGATTCTGGTATTCAGCCAAGAAATGCTTCAGTGGTAAGAGGCTGGAAGCTTTGCCCAAGAGTTAAGAAAATAGGTCTCTGAGGATGCTTTTACTCAACCGAAATCACACAAGCAAGAAGAGCAAATTCTTTTAAAAGCCTTCCCTGATCTCTTAGGATTTCTTTGAGAACATGCTGTGTAATTCCTAGCTTCTATACTAGCGTGCAGTATGTAGTAATGAGATGGTTAATTTATTTTTTTTAAACAGTAATGTCCTCTTGTATACCTTGAACTTCTCTTATTTTTATTAAGGTGAGAAACTGATAGGAAGAGACGAGCCGGTGACTTTGAGAGGTTGCAGTAGAAGTGAGCTGTGTGGATAACTTCTGAGGAGGAGGACTTCAGTGTTCATGCCATGGAATTAAAAAAGAACAGTGATGTTAAAAGCAAAAGGAGATGCCTCCATCAGACCTCACATCTTTTTGCTTATTCTGAGGAAGCTGAGCACATGCTCGTCAGAGACACTGCAGCAGGAGCGAACCATTCTGATTTTGGCCAGGCAGGTTCTGTCAATGTTTCAGAGTTTAAGTTACCAGAGGAAAGTTTACCTTATTTAAGTTCATCTTTAAACACAGATATTGAAATGTATAATGAAATGAGAATGAGAATTTGCTGTGCACAGGTCAATGAGAGCAAGAAAGAAGCTGAAATGGTGGAAAGGGCATGTGACAATACGCACTTTAATTGTGGGGTGTGTGATGACTGCAGACAAAGCCATTTAGGTGAAGACTCACAGCTGGAATATCTCAGTGCTAATGAGGACTTTGATGATAGGAATAGCTCAAGTGAGTCTTCTCAGAAAAGGGAAACTCCAGGAATTGAAACCTTAAAGCCGATAGATCCAGTTGATGAAGTTCCAGGGCGTAGAGTCGCAAAGGAACAAGATCTCTTTGATGTGTCAGAAGGTTGTTGTCCTGCTTCTGACTATGGTGTAGGTGAGCAGACCTGCCCAGAAGGACCTAAGCCAGAGCTTCCCTACCTGCTTCAGAACTCCCTACCAGATTTCAATGGTGTGACTTGTGATCATCAGGAAGAACAGACAGAGTATCATAGTGCTGTTTATGGAAGTATACTTGAAAGTTGTGAATGTGGGAGTAAAGAAAAGGCCCGTCCAAATCTGCTTGTATGTGACGGTTTAGGAGATGGAGAGGTGAAAGACATCCCTCTGACTGACAGCACGCTGCCACCCCAAACAGCTACAAGTGGAGAAGTGTCTGAGAAGAGTGACGGACACATTCACAGCATCTCAGTGAGGCAAGACAATCCTTTGCTGTCAGCAAGGGGAAGGGCCCCTGCAGTAGCTGTGCAATCTTGCCATCGTGCAGAGGACTCTGATGTCTACAGTTGGGAAGAATCTGGTGTGTGCCTGCATGGTGCCAGCTGCACTGACTGCGCTCCAAAGGATGCTGAAGCCCAATTCCCAGTCTCTGAAATTCTCACTAGCAAGAATCCCTTTTTCGAGGTGGAATTTGCAGATAAATCCTCCCGTGGAAATACCAGCTGTGTGAACTCGGAGCATCGTGAAAACTTGAAAAACATTCCCAGTGACTCTACGGTTAACCAGGCTGTTGCTGCGAGTTGTGATTTCAGACCTTGCTTCACAACAAGCAGAAGTACCAGTGCTCAGGTTTGCCTCTCGTCCAGGGCTGTTAATACAGAGATAACAATGATGAACAAATCTCGACCCGTGGGACTGCGCTGGGAAAACTGTGCAGACGTTGCTTGCAATACAGACTGGTCATGTGGAGCCAGTACAACAGTGCAAACTGGATCACAGCTCTCTGAGATGCTGGGAGAACACTCAGATGGCAGTACTGCAACAGCTGAAAGAAGTTCACAAATTCAGGTAATTTAGGAAAAAAAAAAAAACACAACCAAACAATTTTGATATATAGACCTTTTTTAACTTAAAGTTGCTCAGAACTTGTCTATACAAACATTAAGCTGTAACTTTTAATTATTTTTTTTTTTGTTTAGGAACAAGAAGAATCAAAAAATGAGTTGTGTAGCAGTGATTTAAAGATAAGCACTGACAGGTGGGTCATGAATTGTTTTTCGTTTGGAATTCTACATGCTGGATAAGATTTTTTCATGATTGAAAAGTTGTCTGTGACTTAGCAAAACTGATGGCATTGAAAGATTGCTGGGCAGCAGCTACTACGCTAGAGGGTAAGACTGCCTTTCAGAGAGCCCTGGGCAAGTGAGAAGGAGATGAAGACCTGAAGATGAACAAAGACCAAAGCAGCCTTGGTCTGCAGTTGCAGGCTGGCCAAGAACAAGTCGGGAGTAAGTCAGCAGTGCTCCAGTACGGTGAAGAAGGGAAACCACATCCTGGGGCTGCCTTAGCAAGAGTGCAGCCAGCACATGGAGGGAAGTGTTGATTCTTCTCAGTTTGGTGCTCGTGAGGTTGCATCTGGAAAGGTATCTCCAGCTGCAGGCCTTGTAGTGCAAGAAGGAGATTGGCAGGCTGGGGAAAGCCCACCAGAGGGCCATCGAGATGGTGAGGGAGCTGGTGGAGCACCTGATGTGTGGGGAGAGCTGAGGGAACTGGGGTTGGTCAGCTCAGAAGGGAGGCTGGGGATGTGGGGAACCTCCCTGTAGTTCTTGGCAATCTGGTGGTGGGTTGCCAAGAAGATGGAGTTAAATTCTTTGTGGAGGTGTATTTTGAAAGGGCAAGAGCCCACAGTTACTATTTGAGGAATTCTAAGCAGGTGTAAAATAAAAATTTCTTACAGTGAGAGTAGTGTTGGTACTGTCTCCTTCCTTGAAGATTTAAAACAAGAAAAAACCCAAACCCAGCAACAAAGCTGGACTAGCTAAGACCTCGAGCTAATTTTGAAGTTAGTCCTGCTTTGAAAAGAGGTTTGTAGTGCAGACCTCCAGAGATCCTTTCCAACCTAAATTATTCCGTGACTGTGGAAACCAAATAAGTGCGTCTTGATCAACATTGGAGTTGCTAAGTTTCTTTTTGTTCTTAAAACCACACTTTTTGAACAGAAATTATGATGGTGCTTGTGCAGTTCCCACCTATCAGTTAAGGCTGATTGTAATGTGGAAGCTACTGTAAGACATAATTTTTTTCTGTGTAGTAAACAGGAGGAACTGATTTAATTTTTCTTTTTTTCCTTAAGTCATAACAGAAATAGCTGCTGGAAAGCTTCTTGTTTCAAAATAAGACATAATGAATTTGAAGCCCTTGAATCAGTATTTTAAAATTTTGTTTATTATTCTTATTTTAAAGGCCAGTGCGCATTGACAAACAAGCTGTGAAGAATTCTGCATCAAGCTACTGTCAAAAAATACTGCAGAGAGCGATTGAAGCGGAATTGCAGATTCTAAACGCTCATTATCGGATGTGTTATCAGCACTGCTTGAAGATTTACAAACTGGCTTTGGAAGAAAACATATGTTTTAGCAGGCACGTACTTCAACGTCCTTTTAAATGAAACGGATGACTTGGTTAAAAGGCATTAATTGCTAAATGTTACTGATGTATTCTGCCCATGGCTTGGAATGGTGTTTATAATTAGCATTGTTGCCCAAAAGACGTTTGTACACGTTCTTGTAACTGCCAAGTTTTTATTTTCAGCCTAAAATTTTCTGTAGCATTGACAGCCCTAGCAAAATACTGTTTGTTTCCATGAATGTCTTTCTGTACAGGAGGAATATTGCAGAGAATCCATTCAGGATGGGAGGGGATGCATAGAGGGGGAGCTGGGGAGGATGGTAAAGGAGAAGGAGGTGCAGAATTGTTACGAGATGAGGCAGGAAGGGGGTAGTGATCACAGAGTCTCTAGCTGACAAAGCACATGCCCTGGAACGAACCTGGAACTCACCTGAGGAATCTTTAAACGCTGTCAAATGTTTGGGCCGTTCTGGAAGCAGTAAAATAAAAGAAATGTCTAAGTTGATCTTCTTTTCTTATACATGTTTGGACAGATTTAATGGAAATAGTGAATTACGTTCATCTCTCATCTTGGTTTTGAAAGAGCTAAGAAAGAATTACAACAGTATGAGAATGAAAATTGAAATGGGCACACCTTTAAATGAACTTCCACCACTATCGGTTGAGATGAAGTTGTTCCCAATCTCCTCTTCTTATGTCCCCTGCAAGGTAATTTCTTAATTGCTTTTTGATTTTAATATAAATTATTTTCTTCAGAAAACTAAGACAAATCTTCTCTTTTTTGGCAGTTGTTCAGAGAGGATCTTTGCTATGTGTAAGTAGTCCTCATTTGTGGTATTTATTAAAGTTCAAAATAAGTAAGAAGTGAGTTTAAAAGATGTTAAACTTAGAATTTTTGTATTTCAAGATGTCTTGTTGCTCCAAACTGTTTAGCTGAAAGACTAGCATAGCCCTTTTGGGTACAGTGATTTTATTTTAAAGAAAGCTTTACTCTGTAATCTTCTAGTGTGCAAACTATGGAGTTGTATTTTTACTATCTTTGTAGGAAAAGTTTTCAATTTATGGGTAATTTTCCTGGTTCTCTACTTTCATTACTAAAATCTTTGTCTCTAATCTTAATGCTATCTGTCTTAAAAAAAAAATAACCAAACAAAAAAAACCCCACACAACAAAAACCCCATCAAAACAAAAAGACATTGCTGCCAGCAAAGATAGTATTAGGCATATAAGCATCTGTTCTGCTAAGATTATCATTCAGTTATGAAGAGTGATAGAAAAATAGCTCCATATTTCAGGCAGACATATGGTTTTGCTTGTTCAAGAACTATGTCCAATTACTTTATGTAAATGGAGATTAAAAAAAATTGGCAATAAGTTTTTGCTGCATCGGGTAAACAACGGGATATTTTTCAAATTTCTTGTTAAGTGTTAGTAAAATTAATCAAAAATTGCACAGATTTCAAATTGTACAGGCATACATGGAAACATTGCACAGAAAGCTTTGTGTCAGGTTGCAACTAATGCTTTTATAAAATACAAGTATCAAAAAACTTTGGTTCTCATTTTAAGCTAGGATTTATTAAACACATTTTATTTATTTTACTGCGAGCTTTTTGGAAAGATTTAAATTAATATTTCAGAGTACTTGATACCATTGTAGAATTTAAAATGGTGACATGTTTTGTGTTAAATTCTTGGATCTGTGTTAGTTCTGTTTCAGGCTCAAGGAAAGGTGACTTTGTAGCACCAGAACTACAAGAAAGGAAGATTTCTGTCAACATGGTAGGGATTTCTTCATTACTGAGTTTCTTAGACGTGAATTTTGTGAAGCACAGTCTCCTTTTAGGTATATGCAAATACAATCACAGCGTTCAGGGCTCGAGCTAGGATCCTCTGCCAGTAAGCACAAATGCAGCTGATGTGACCACAATTTTGATTGTCCTTTCAAAATAAAATGACTTGGAGGTTCTTGAAGACGATCAGTAGGTTAACTTTTTAGAATTTACCAGTTTAAGCAATCAATATTCTGAAGGTCAGAAAAATAACATACAATCAGGTGCCAGTGCTGTGACATGACTGAAACATGTTTGTAGGACAACCCACAGACTGTGTGTGGAACTGATGGCAGACAGCCAAGTGACTCTACTTCCTCCAAGGCATTTGCAGAACAACTTCCAGATCAGGATATAAAACGTGGTAAGCAATCTGCTTCTGGCACAAACACTAAATTATTAGTTAAGTTGTTGGGGAAAAAACCCAAACACTGTGTAAAACATAGATATGCACACTCGACTGTCTTTTCTGTGATGGAATGCATAGCATTTTATCAGCTCTATATTATACTTTACATCTTGAAAAAACAGATTTGCTGCTTAAATCAGAAGTGAGAAGTAGTATATGTCACCTCTTTGTGATGTAGTACCAAGTCATGCAGGTAGCTGGAATGCTCTTAAGCACACAGAGATTTTATATTTGTTCATGTGACAAACCACGGTCTGAATTTTAACACACTGAAATTGATTTCAACTGTCAAGGCTGTGTGAAAAATGAAGACAAGAGTGAATACTGGTTTGATGCTAAAGAGGACTTGACAGTAGCAGATTTTTCAGTAACGTCTGAAGAAACAAAAGAGCAACAAGAAAACCAAGACACGGTTGATTTAAGAGGTGAGGTTGTGTGCTTTAAGCTGCCATATCTAACAATGATGTTTGTTTATTATTTGAGTATTCTGTTCTTTCTACAAGCATAAGTAAACGTGGAAAAAAAAATGCTAACTGGGATTTCAAACTTATTTTTAATTTGACTTCCAGTGAATGCTTGTACAAATGTTCAGCTGTTTTCATCCACATTTTTCCTTTAAGACTTTACCTGCAGTCATTAAACTCAATTTAGAAAATCTCCAGCCAATCATGTAGCTGGAAATCTTTCCTTTTTTTCTCTTCCTCCTCTTTCTGCGTCCTTCCCCATTCAGGCTTCTTAAGAGTCAGCTGGGAATGGCCTACCTTTGGAGACTTGGGTCCCGGTGACAGGCATGATCCAATGTCCTGGTGCGTGGGAAGCAGAGAGCTTGTGTGCTCCGTGGTGGGGACTCGCATACAGTACCCGTTCTTTAGCACTGGAACCTGTTGGTTCCGACCGGTGTTTTCTCTGGTTGTACCTCTTGTGCCTCTTCAAACCTCAGGAAATACTCAGGGAAAAGAGGTTTCACAAACTGAACTGTTCTGCTTCTCAGGACACTCATTTTCTCTTAGAAGGTGCTTTTCATTCTTTTAGGTTTTTTAAAGGTTTTCCATCTGCACTTTCTGAAATGTACAGAGATGTTAGCTTGGACTGAAACATAAATAGTTAATAACACTTTACTTTCTTACGTTTATTATTAGAAGTGAAGATAACGGAGAGTGGAAGTGAGTGTTCTTCTATTTGTGTTGGTGGCCTGAGTTCCTCGGAGTCGGAGGTATGCCTGTTCTTATTTACACAGTAGTAGTAACGTCTTGCCTCTTTTTTGAATTCTTTCATACATTTGCAAACAAATATGCTTCTGTTTTGTAGGGGGATTTAAGATCACATTTCCAGAAGTACCAGGTTTCTGACACTCCTACTGCTGCGGATTCTAATAACTACAGGTTTGTTAATATGTTTTACTTGTTTCAGATTTCTTTTTTGTCAAAGTGAGCAGATCACGGGAGAGAGGAGGGGGAGTTCATTAATTTGTTTCAGTAATTAATGTAGATACAGATAGGTACTTGTAACTTGTAATTCCAGACAGCTTCTCACCTTATGAGAAGTTAAGGAGTCTGAAATTTTCTGTGAAATTATCTTTAATGGAGATACAGTTAATATTCAAAAGAAGAGAACAATCATGTGTTCTTACTCTTAGTAATTTGTGGTTTACTTAGTTTCCTTTTTTTCCTTTTTTTTTTTTTTTTCTGTGCCTTAGATATGCATTTCTTCCCTTTAAAGACACTAATAAAGCAAAGTTAGCTGGAGAAGAAATGAACCAGAAAAAAATAAAAGGAAAACCACTAAGTGTTGAACTTGTAAATACTTCATCAGAGAATAAATATTCTTTTTCCCAAGTACTTACAAATAAGCTTTGTCATGAAATCCAACCTGTTGGTAACAGTCAAAGAAATTATCAAGATAAAACCCTCACTTCAGCCTCCAAGTCTGTGAAAGCACTTGACACCACCTCTGCTTCTGAGAAAATGCATCTCCTTCCCGTAACTTTTTCCAAAATTTCTGACTCTACACAAGTACCTTCAGAAACAAAGTGCTCTGCACTGAAATCATCTACTGAAGATTCGGTACGATGCTTGCTTGGAGTTAATCAAAAGGTAAATAATTACTACTAAGGCTCCTTTATGTGGCAGATTAAGAGCCTTAAAACTTCTTGTCCCATAACGTGTTACATTCAGTATCTATAGGATGATGTTAGGATAGGAAAAACATGTTATGTGTCTCTAATAAGTTTCTGCAGAAGAGTGAGAGCACCGTTCATTTGCCCCTGCATCAAATTGTGATGCTCCATCTCTTTTTCTTAATCCGAAGCCAGTTGGGAACCTAGCCATTTGCCCTGGATTTTTCATCTTGCTCTTCTATTTTGAGTTTCCACTTGTAACGCTTTTTTTTTTATTTGAATGTCTTGTGATTTTTATCCAGGAAAGATTCTGGGATGCTGGAGGGGAAACTTGGGATTTTTAAATAGAAATTAAGAAATGCCCGTGTATAAATACAGTATTTTATATTTGCTTAGGTTGGTCCTTGGAGGATAAGGCAAAGTTAATAATTGCTGGTGTTGCTCTCA